TAGCTGGGATTACAGGCACGCACCACCATGCCCAGCTAATGTTTTTGTATTTTTTTAGTAGAGACGGGGTTTCACCATGTTGACCAGGATGGTCTCGATCTCTTGACCTCGTGATCTACCCGCCTCGGCCTCCCAAAGTGCTGGGATTATAGGCTTGAGCCACCGCGCCCGGCCTGAGACTCTGTCTTAAAACAAAACAAAACAAAAAATCATATAGTCCTGTTTTTAAAAAAATCTTCCCTGTTAATCATAAAATTTTATATTTAAAGAAATTGGAAAACAGAAAATAAAATATCCAAAGTACTCTTACTCAGAAACAATTATTAGTAATATTTTCCACATAGTTGAAATGAATGTAGGTTTATTGTTTTATTTATCTAAGATTTACATAATAGTTCTTAACACACCCAAAATGAAATGTGGTTGATGACCTATTTTCACATAAAGAAAAGCTTATTTTGGGTTAAGAATGGTGAGTGTTACAAAAACCTTACAAGGCAAGAAGCAATGGCACAGATAAAAAACAACTGAAGTATTTCATCATATGACCCAGGGACTCGATAGATATAAGGAAGGTACAAATCATGACTCCTAAAGTCCATATCTAATCAACATCTCAGAGTTTTACAGCAGGACTATAAGCAAAGCACAGTGCTGGGAAACAAAATGAGCAGGTGACAGGAGTCAGCAAACTCTTTTTTTTAAATGGAGTCTTGCTCTGTCGCCCAGGCTGGAGTGCAGTGATGCGATCTCAGCTCACTGCAAACTCTGCCTCCCAGGTTCAAGTGGTTCTTCTGCCTCAGTCTCCGGAGTAGCTGGGACTACAGGCGTTGTGCCACCACACCTGGCTACTTTTTGTATTTTTAATAGAGATGGGGTTTCACCATGTTAGCCAGATGAACTCGGTCTCCTGATCTCATGATCCACCTGCCTCAGCTTCCCAAAGTGCTGGGATTACAGGTGTGAGCCACCATGCTCACTCAGCCAAGTCAGCAAACTCTTAAAAGTCCAGATAGTATTTTAGATTTTGCAGGCCATTTGGTCTCTATTTCAGCTCTCAAATTGTAGCTCAAAAACAGTCATAGACAATGCATAAATGAATAAGCATGACTGTGGTCCAATCAAATTTTATGATTTATACAAACAGACACTACTCCTCAAACAGGATATCAAGTAGCGTGGTAGTCTATGCTATGTATCCATCTAAATAGACACAGCCATTAACTTCTCTAATGGTGTCCCCTTTGGTCACGTGAAAACTGTGAAGCATCAAACACTGCTAATTCAAAGGCCAGAAGCCCTTCAGGCTACTTGCTAAATACAAACCTAGAAAACACACAAGAGTAGAGAAGGGACAGAACTCTGGACAGCCAGATCCAAAGAAATGACAGAGTAACCATCCCTAGACACCCACCTCTTTCGCAGAGCTGTTCCCAATTCACCAACCAAATCCCGATGAGGCCCCACATCCTTGGAGTTCCAGTTCCAAGACACAGGACTAGGCCAGTTTGTGAAGCCTTCATGATGCTTTGTTGTCAAAACTACATACCTGTGGACAGTAAAATCACATGAGAAAAGGAAGTGGGCAGTGAACTTGCATGAACTTGCCGAGCATGCCTGAGGCTTTTTAAATGGCTGAAAGAACTTGATCACAACAAATGTACTTGTACCAGTGACTATTAGTGATATCCAGGAAGCTGCTGCAGTCACAATTCCCCTAATTGCTCCAAGAATGACAGCAGATTTGAGGAAGTCCCAGTCCTCCGTCCCCAGTGAAGGAGGAGGCCCAGAGAGAAGGAAGGAGTAGGTGAGGGAAAAGAAGTGCACCTTAGCTCTCTGATTCTTCAACACTTCTGGTATAAATGATTAACTTTCTTCCACCCTTTGCCTTGAAGGAGAAAGATCTCTACTGTCTCTACTGGAAATGGCAGATGACAGAAAACTAAGTTGTTTGCTGGCCAGGCACGGTGGCTCACACCTGTAATCCTAGCACTTTGGGAGGCCAAGGCAGGCAGGCAGATTACCTGAGGTCAGGGGTTCAAGACCAGCCCGGCCAACATGGTGAAAACCCATCTCTACTAAAAATATATAAATTAGCCAGGCATAATGGCATATGCCTGTAGTCCCAGGTACTTGAGAGGCTGGGGCATGAGCATCACTTGAGCCTGGCAGGTGGATGTTGCAGTGAGCTGAGATCATGCTACTGTACTCCAGCCTGAGCTACAGAGCAAAACTGTGTCTCAAAACAACAACAACAGAAAACTAAGCTGTTTGGTTTATCGAGCCTATGTAAATTGCCTCTCATTTATTATAGAAGTGACAAAAGACCTAGTAACTGGGAGAAAAGGGACGTGTTGAAATAATAACCAAATTACTCAACATTTAATTTGCTTTTTTGGCAGAAAAATAGGCAATGCCTGCACATTATGATTTAATCACCCACCAGAGTAGGGAACTCCAGAGCTAAAAGGGCCACATAGTATTTTATTTTAGGCTTTGTGGGACACACTCCTCTCTGTAGCATATTCTTCTTTAAAAAACTTTACAATCAGCCAGGTGCGGTGGCTCATGTCTATAATCCTAGCACTTTGGAAGGCCGAGGCGGGCAGATAATGGGGTCAGGAGATGGAGACCATCCTGGCCAACATGGTGAAACCCCGCATCTACTAAAAATACAGGGTATGGTGGTGGACGCCTGTAGTCCCAGCTACTTGGGAGGCTGAGGCAGGAGAAACGCTTGAACCCAGGAGGAGGAGGAGGTTGCAGTGAGCCGAAATCATGCCACTGCACTCGAGCCTGGGCAACAGCGTGAGACTCCATCTCAAAAAAAAAAAAAAAAAATTTACAATCCTTTAAAAATGTAAAAACCATTCTCATGCTTGCTTCGGCAGCACATATACTAAAATTGGAAAGATACAGAGAAGATTACCATGGCCCCTGCACAAGGATGACACGCAAATTCGTAAAGCATTCCATATTTAAAAAAAAAAACATTCTCACCTCTGAGGCCTTAAAAACCTGGCAGAGGACCAATCCCTCTGGCCAGTTTGCAGACCCCTCCCTTTCCCTGTTAGAGACATTAGGTCTGAAAGGAATTGATACAATCCCTTTCTGTAACTATACAAGATGCTGCAGTGACTTGTCCAAGTTCACAGTTGAACAAGGACCAGGCTCCATACCGCTGATTTGAAACCCTGGAGTCCTGATGGTGCTATCAATCTGGAAGGGGCATCAGGTATGGCCTAGTCCAGCCCTCTCGGTGCACAGGTGTAGATACCGAGGGCCTCCCAGCCCGCCATCCCCCTGAACCTTCATTTTTCAGTCCCCAGCGAGACGCACCTCCTCCTTCTCATCAGGTGTGCCACGCTCACTCCTGCAGCCGCAGGAGGTCACACGCGGGCCCTGGGGTCGTGGAGGCGACCGGCAGCTGCGCGCCCGGGCTGGCTGCCCAGCCCTACCTCCCGTCTGCCGCCCGAGCCGGGAAGGGGTGTCGCCCCCCGCGACCACACTCACTTGGCGCCCGCGGCCTGGAAGAGGTCGGCCCACTCCTCAGGGTGGAAGAAGCGCGCGGTGAACTGCGGCCCGAAGTCGGCGTAGCTGAAGCCGGGCGGGTAGTTGTCGCCCATGAAGCGCTGGTACTCCGGCCGCCCCTCGCCCCGCCAGTGCCACCAGAACCACTCGCTGCCCCAGGCGGGCACCGAGAACACGCCCCAGTGCACGAACACCCCGAACTTGGCCTCGTCGAACCAAGCCGGCAGCGGCCGAGAGTCCAGGCTCGGCCAGTCCGGGGTGTAGCGGCGCGGTGGCAGGGCCCGACGCAACGACTCGGCGGCTCCGAGGAGGAGGAGGAGGGGGAGGAGCAGCAGCAGCAGCGCGGGACCCGCCGGCCGCGACCTCACCCCCGAAGCCCGCATCGCTGCCAGGCGGCGACGCGGCCCACTCCCAACCCGCAGCTACCCGGCGCGCGCTCCGCCCACTCTGGCTAACGATTGGCCCGGAAGGAAAAAGGGGCGGGACAACCCGGACTGCTTGGCCCGAGTCGCTTCCTCTTCGGGTTGGAGGAGCGCCCTCTGGTGCTCAAAGTGGGAAAAACGCAGGGAGGCGTTGACAGCGCTTCACTGAAGGACGAATAAAACCTTGAAAAGGGACTTAACTGCGAGGTTAAATCGGGGTGGTGAGGAAGGCTCAGTGTGTGCGGAGACCTCACATTTAAGAAGTCCATTGAACCGGGCGCAGAGGCTCATGCCTGTAATCCTAACACTTTGGGAAGTCGAGGCGGGAGGATCGCTCTGAGCGATCAAGACTAGCCTGTCACTACAAAAAATAAACACGCGCCGGGCGCGGTGGCTCAAGCCTGTAATCCCAGCACTTTGGGAGGCCGAGGCGGGTGGATCACGAGGTCAAGAGATCGAGACCATCCTGGTCAACACGGTGAAACCCCGTCTCTATTAAAAATACAAAAAATTAGCTGGGCATGGTGGTGCGTGCCTGTAATCCCAGTTACTCAGGAGGCTGAGGCAGGAGAATTGCCTGAACCCAGGAGGCGGAGGTTGCGGTGAGCCGAGATCGCGCCATTGCACTCCAGCCTGGGTAACAAGAGCGAAACTCCGTCCCAAAAAACTAAACAAAAACAAAAAATAAACACGCTGGGCGCAGTGACTCACGTCTGTAATCCCAGCTCTTTGGGAGGCCGAGGCGGGCGGATCACCTGAGGTCAAGAGTTCGAGACCAGTCTGACCAACATGGAGAAACCCCGTCTCTACTAAAAAAAACAAAACAAAACAAAATTACCCGGGCGTAGTGGCGCATGCCTGTAATCCCAGCTACTCCGGAGGCTGAGGCAGGAGAATCACTTGAACCCGCAAGGCAGAGGTTCCAGTGAGCAAAGATCGTGTCATTGCACTCCAGCCTGGGCAGTAAGAGCAAAACTCCGTTTAAATAAATAAACAAAATGAGCTTGGCGTGGCGATGCAAGCCTGGAGTCCCAGCTATTCAGGAGGCTGAGGTGGGGTACTCTGGATTGCTTGAGCCGGGGAAGTGAACTGAACAGTGATCACGCCTCTGGAGTAGTCAATTTTGCTGTAACAATCCTGCAGGGTTAGGCTGAAGTCAGACCACGAGTTTCATTTAGTGATCACTTAAGGAGCCACAGGGGGCTTTTGAGTTGTCCGGTAGCACAAGGCTGGAGGCAGGGACACCAGACTGGAAGGATATCTAACAGCTCTGACAGAAATAAGGAGGTAGAGGGATGATGAGAGGAAACATGAGGGGAGAGGAGGGAGAAAAGTGGGTACTGAAAGAGGGGGAGCAGGTGTGACTGTTTCATCTGTCAGGTACTTACTGAGCTTTCTTTGGGAAATCTGAGGCATTTCAAATAGCTTAGCTTCTACTTGGGAAAAGAAGACCCATGCACAGGTCTCCACAGAGGACAATTTTTAGAAAACCAGGGGCAGAAAGTGGAGAGCCTAGCTGGGCATGATGGTGCACGCCTGTAATCCCAGCTACTCAGGAGGCTGAGGCAGGAGAATTGCTTGGACCTGGGGGGTGGAAGTTGCAGTAAGCCAAGATCATGCCATTGCACTCCAGTCTGGGCAACAGAGCCAGACAATGTCAAAAGAAAGAAAGAAAAAAAGAGAGAAAGAGAGAAACAAAGAGAGAAAGAAATGAAGGAAGGAAGGGAGGGAGGGAGGGAAAAGAAAAGAAAAGAAAGTGGAGAGCCAAGAGGACCCCTGGACGATTGCCTGGCAGAGAAGTTCTCCATTACCTTTACAATGTGTACATGCTGCACATGCTAAAATGGGAGGCGAGGCCATCAATGAGGGAAATACAGAAGTCAGAAGTCTCTGACTGGGCGTGGTGGCTCACACTTGTAATCCCAGCACTTTGGAAGGCCGAGATAGGCGGATCACCTAAGGTCATAGTTCGAGGCCAGCCTGACCAACATGGTGAAACCCCATCTCTACTAAAAATACAAAAATTAGCTGGGCATGATGGTACATGCCTGTAATCTCAACTACTTGGGAGGCTGAGGAAGGAGAACTGCTTGAACCCGGGAGGTGGAGGTTGCAGTGAGCTGCGATAGAGCTACTGCACTCCAGCCTAGGCGACAGAGCCAGACTCCATCTCAAAAAA